TGTTATGCAAAAGATTTCATAACCATTAATGAGCTGCAAGATTTCATCTGTCCTATACAGACCAGAGTGCATGTAAATTACTTCTTCGTAGATCTTCTAAACCATGCTTCATTATGTCCATCACACAACCTCCGCACACTAACTTTGCCCAATCTCTCTTTCTCATTAACTGCCTCCTGACTGATGCCCTGATGTGTGGCCAGTCCTCATTACAGAACAGCAGTAGCAGTTGCTTGGGCATAGTTTAAAGGAGAGACTGAAGTCAGCTAGTTCCTATCTATAGTGGACTACAACATTGTTAAGACAAAGAGAATGTTTCATTGATGTCTGTTCAAAATGAATGCTTTTGTATGCTAGAAGGAAAAGCATGTGGTTGTAAGATCTGCTCTTGTTATATAACCAGGATCTGGAGATTGGTTTGTTAAGCTTATAGACATTGAAATCAGTAATCTCTTTAGGTTTAGTCATCTATAATTTTATATGGATTATATGATCATTAAACCCTCAAATTAACAATGTTGAGTAGCTTTAAGTAGCTGTTAATGTCATTTTAACCCATTATCAAAGATATTTCAACTGACTGGCGCATACAGCATAATTACTGTATATGTGGTTCGATGGAGAAAACGTATGTTGTTATTTGAAAATAATGCAAAAATGATAGAGACTAAAGGAAAATTAGTAAAAACATCAATAAAATATATTGGTCCAATACTATTTGGTCTATTAAGAGAAATGAGAGAAATCAGAATGAATTTGAATGCAAAAACACATACATGTTGGTCAAAAAAAGCTTATAAGCAAGAATTTAAACACAAGCTTGTGCATACATATGAATTCTCACCTTCGTATATGCACTCTGAATTATCTACAGCAGCAATATCTGCTTTTCCTTCTTGCCCTCAGTCCTCTTGTGACTGCTTTAATTACTCGTGCACTTTGATCACACAGAGGTATTAGCAGACCACAAACTCCTCTCTAGTGAGGAAGCGAGAAACTGAGAGAAGTCAGCAGAATAATCTGAGCCATTTCAAAGCTAAGCAAGTCCTATAAAGAGATGAGACACTTTACTCCCACAATGAGCACCTTCCCTTGTCACCCCTGGTCTCCAGCTAACTGATGTTAAAACAAGTTAAATCGGCTAAAATGTCAAGTCATGCTCTTGGTGCTTGTGATGACTTGAAGAGAACTGTGCTGTTATTACAAACATAAGAATCAGAATACTGCTCCATACACCCAATTGCATCAGCCTTGGCTCAGGAATGCAAGGAGAGTTTTATAACACATGGATACATGAAATAGACATCCTACTGTGTGAACATACTTGCAACTGAAATAATATTTTTCATCAAATTTTACATGAAATGGGCACTGACTCCATTAATTCAGACAGCATGACAGGAGTGTTGAACAAGAAGGTGAGAATGTGAAGGATGGAACAGAAGTTAGAGGGGAGGAAACTCAAAGTGGCAGTAAAAAGGATAATGAGAGCATGACAGGGAGAATGGGAGGGAGGGGGGAAAGAGAGGGGGGTAGGGTTAAAATGAGATGGGAGCTGTGTTTTTCCCCAAGCTTTGTGTTCTTGCAATGTATCCAATCAAATTCCACCCAGGAATCCTCTGTGATTTCCAGTGTGAAAGATTTGGTATTAATGTTTATTTTGCAGCATGAAACTCATCCACAACACACACAGACAGTGAGTGATTACTTATACACACTGTGTCTTGGGACTGTTATCTCTGGGCACCAAGTGTGTACTCTCAGATTTTCAATTATCTAGTTGAGTTGCACTGCATTATTAAAGATGCAGAATCAATACAAACAGTGTGTGGTGTCTCATCTATGATGTAATGCTGATATTAAAGGAAGGAGAGAAGAGGGTAATGACATTCAGGAGACAATGAAGGAAGTACCTGAGAGAATAATTATATGTTTGTTTGTTTTTTGCTTTCAACGCTTCTAGTGCTATTGTTGATAATACACGCTCAAGTTTTTGCAAGCAAATGTTTAACTTAACATTACTACCATCTCTTGGTTTATCTGTGCTCCTTTACAGCATTTAATCTTCACATGTTTCATGACACATCAAGGTGTTGACAGCTTAACAAGATGAGTTGCAGTAAAATTATTTTATTACATCCATTTTGAGTTGTTCGTGCCTTACATCACCAGGGCTTACAGGATTCATTGATACTATTGTATGTGTGGTGTTGCACATGTTCTTATGCTCACACTGGACTACTCTGGGTTCTCAACAAATTTTTTTTTTTTTTTTTTTTTTTTTTTTTTTTAAATAATAAATTATTATAATTAATTTTTTTTTTTTTTTGTTTTTTTTTTTTTTTTTTTAAGATGAATAAATTATTTGAATGCTTGAATTAATGAATGATTCACTCAATCAATCAATCAATTATTGAAATAAATGTGAAAGCAAGAACATGGCAGAGAACACCTTTAAGACAAGTTGCTAGGAAATACCTCCAGTACTCAGAGCTATTTACCCCAACTGTACACTAATCTGAGCTAATGGAGCTTTCCAATGCAGAGCTGCTCATGCACACTGTCTCTCTGCTAACTAAAGGCATACTCGCACTAGGCTGGGTTGCCTTGTACAGTGCCCAAGCATGATTAACCCCCTCCCCACTCTCTCGCTGTCCTGCACTCACATTGCACTTAATGTTCAGGAATGAGCATGCTTACGTCATTACGATACTATGTTTTGTTCTGTAGAAAACAGGAAGAAAAGCATTCTCACTGATGGATTCCATCATAGTAACTTTACTTAGTTTGTGGCTTATTCTGAGTTGTTTGGGGTGTGGTGACAGATGGCCCTTTCATATGTCTAATAGTTTGATCATTTATGCAGTGCAGTGATTTTCACTTAATCCTGCTGCAAGTATCAGAAGACTTTTATGGTGGCAGCCTACATTGAGTAATGAATTTGCAGATTTACTCACTCACTACATTTCCAGTTCATCAATAAGGTGAGAACCGGACCCGTTATAAACCCAAATATTCTGTTAAATGATACAGTTGCATCATTGATCTCATGATTCGAGTTCCATGTTCGGCAACGGTTAGGACTCATACTAGATACATACCATGCCTGAGTTCAAGTAAACTGAACTCCTGAGCCCTCTTCAAAGGACAACCACTTTAACATCTTCAAGTGGGCCTGAGCACGGTTCAGCATACTAGTGAAACAAACTGGACTTTAGGGCTCAAACATGCTTGGGCACAGTACAGCTTACCTAGTGTGAGTACACTATAACAATACACATCAATTCATTTAAAATGAGCAGATTAGAAGAACTCCCGAGTGACACAACAGAAAAATGTTTTCCCTATTAGCCTGAAGATGCCACAGCCATCTGTGGCCAGGAGCCCAAGAAAGAAATGTTAAGCAATCAGAGCATTAACCAATACAGTTGTCGCAGTTATTGCTTTACGTTGTAGTTTGTGCTTACCTCTGTGCATGTTCAGTTGCTTTGTGCATGAGCATTAGTTTGAAATGTTGCAGTGGCTAGCTTCAAACCCCTTCTAAAAATAATCAATTATTTCTTAAGTGCTTTGTTCATAGCACTGGCTATGTACCTAAATCATTTAAACTAGCAGTGATTAAACCCCAGATTTTAAAAATCTGACCTCGCCCCTGTCAATTGTCCAACAGTAGGCCAATATCAAATCTCTTCTTTATCTCCAAGATCTTAGAAAAGGTTGTAGCACAGCAGCTGTGCTCTTACCTATATGGGAATAACATTCATAAAAAGTATCAGTCAGGATTTTGGCCTCATCATAGTGGTAAATGACCTACTACTAGCTTCTGATCATGGTTATGTCTCCTGGTTTGTGATGCTTGACCTTAGTGCAGCTTTTGATACCACTATTCTCCTCGATAGACTAGAAAATGGTGTTGGCATTAAGGGAATGGCCCTCTCCTGACTCAGGTCTTATTTGACTGACCATTATCAGTTTGTAGAAGTAAATTGTGAATTCTCTATGCATACTGAGGTAAAGTTTGGTAAATGGCGCACTTATATAGTGTTTTTATCCAAAGCGTTTTACACTAAGTCTCATTCACCCATTCACACACGCACACACGCACACACTTACACATCAATGGTAGCAGAGCTGCCATGCAAGGCACTAACTTGCCATTGTGAGCAACTTGGGATTCAGTGTCTTGTCTAAGGACACTTCGGTATGTGGTGTCATGTGGGCCTGGAATCGAACTGACAACCCTACGATTAGTGGACAACCCGCGCTACCAACTGAGCCACAGCCACGCCAAAATAGCTTGGTTTAGGCCCACTTCTCTTTTGTTTATATATGCTACCTCTGGGTCAAATTATTTATAAACATGGTGTTAGCTTCCATTGTTATGCAGATGACACACAGTTGTATGTTTAGTCAAAGCCAGATGACAGACACCAACTTTATAAAGTTGAGGAATGTGTAAAGGACAATAGATTTAAAATAGACACTGGATGCTTATTAACTTCCTTTTATTTAATTCTAACAAGACAGAAGTTCTTGTACTAGGACCACATGCAGCTAGAAGTAAGCTTTCCGATTAAATACTAACTCTGGGTGGCCTTTCTGTTTCATCATGTGCATCAGTAAAAGAACTTGATCTGATTATTGACTTCTTCTCATTTGAAGCTCATGTAGATAATATTACTAGGATAGTCTTCTTTCATCTCAGAAATATTGCTAAGATAAGCAATATTATCCATCCATCCATCTTGTACCACTTACTCCTTCTTCAGGGTTACGAGGAACCTGGAGCCTATCCCAGGGAGCATCTGGCACAAGGCGGGGTACAACCTGGACAGGGTGCCAGTCCATCACAGGGCACAATCACACACACACCCATTCATAAACTACGGACACTTTAGACACACCAATCAGCCTACCATGCATGTCTTTGGACTGGGGGAGGAAACCGGAGCACTTGGAGGAAACCCCCATAGCACTGGGAGAACATGCAAACTCTGCACACACATGGCCAGCGGGAATTGAACCCTGGACCCTGAAGGTGTGAGGTGAAAGTGCTAACCACTAAGCCACCATGCGCCCCCTAAGCAATATACAGTGGTGTGAAAAAGTGTTTGCCCCCTTCCTCATTTCCTGTTCCTTTGCATGTTTGTCACACTTAAGTGTTTCGGAACATCAAACCAATTTAAACAATAGTCAAGGACAACACAAGTAAACACAAAATGCAATTTGTAAATGAAGGTGTTTATTATTAAAGGTGAAAAAAAATCCAAACCATCATGGCCCTGTGTGAAAAAGTGATTGCCCCCCTTGTTAAAACATACTATAACTGTGGTTGTCCACACCTGAGTTCAATTTCTTTAGCCACACCCAGGCCTGATTATTGCCACACCTGTTCACAATCAAGGCATCACTTAAATAGGAGCTGCTTGACACAGTAAGGTCCACCAGAAGATCCTTAAAAGCTACACATCATGCCGAGACCCAAAGAAATTCAGGAACAATTGAGAAAGAAAGTAATTGAGATCTATCAGTCTGGAAAGGGTTATAAAGCCATTTGCAAAGCTTTGGGAATCCAGCGAACCACAGTGAGAGCCATTATACACAAATGGCGAAGACATGGAACAGTTGTAAACTTTCCCAGGAGTGGCCGGCCGCCCAAAATTACCCCAAGAGCGCAGCGACGACTCATCCAAGAGGTCACAAAAGACCCCACAATAACGTCCAAAGAACTGCAGGCCTCACTTGCCTCAGTTAAGGTCAGCGTTCATGCCTCCACCATCAGGAAAAGACTGGGCAAAAATGGCCTGCATGGCAGAGTTCCAAGGAGAAAACCACTGCTGAGCAAAAAGAACATCAAAGCTCATCTCAATTTCTCCACAACACATCTTGATGATCCCCAAGACTTTTGGGACAACATTCTGTGGACCGATGAGACAAAAGTGAAACTCTTTGGAAGGTGTGTGTCCAAGTATATCTGGCGTAGAAGGAACACTGCATTTCATAAAAAGAACATTATACCAACAGTAAAATATGGTGGTGGTAGAGTGTTGGTCTGGGGCTGTCTTGCTGCTTCAGGACCTGGAAGACTTGCCGTGATAAAAGGAACTATGAATTCTGCTGTCTACCAAGAGATCCTGAAAGAGAATGTCCGACCATCTGTTCGTGTACTCAAGCTGAAACGAACTTGGGTTCTGCAGCAGGACAATGATCCTAAACACACCAGCAAGTCCACCACCGAATGGCTGAAGAAAAACAAAATGAAGACTTTGGAGTGGCCTAGTCAAAGTCCTGACCTGAATCCTATTGAGATGTTGTGGTATGACCTTAAAAAGGCCGTTCATGCTCGAAAACCCTCTAATGAAACTGAATTAGGACAATTCTGCAAAGATGAGTGGGCCAAAATTCCTCCAGGACGCTGTAAAAGCCTCATTGCACGTTATCGCAAACGCTTGGTTGCAGTTGTTGCTGCTAAGGGTGGCCCAACCAGTTATTAGGTTTAGGAGGCAATCACTTTTTCACACAGGGCCATGATGGTTTGGATTTTTTTTCACCTTTAATAATAAACACCTCCATTTACAAATTGCATTTTGTGTTTACTTGTGTTGTCCTTGACTATTGTTTAAATTGGTTTGATGTTCCGAAACACTTAAGTGTGACAAACATGCAAAGGAACAGGAAATGAGGAAGGGGGCAAACACTTTTTCACACCACTGTAATGTAAGCAAAAAATTAAATTTGTTCATGCTTTCGTCACCTCCAGGTTGGATTATTGTAATATCTTACTGGCTGGCTGTTCCAGTAGGCGCATAAACATGCTCCAGTTAGTCAAGAATGCAGCTGCAAGAGTCCTTTCTAGAACCAGAAGATATGACCACATCACCCCTATCTTATCCACACTGCATTGGCTCCTCGTAAAATTTTGCATTGATTATAAAATACTACTATTGACCTGTAAAGCACTAAATGGTCTCATGTCACAGTACCTGAGCAAACTTTTGGAACTTTTGATCCACCACACCTACTTCGATGAAAAATTACAGGCTATTTGCTGGTACCTTGAATAGTGAAGGCTACAGCAGGGAGTAGAGCTTTCTTTTTCTATCCCTAGTTATGGAACAGCCTTCCAATTAGTGTTCGGGACTCAGTATTCAATTCTAAGCTGTTTAGTCAAGCATTTTGTGAATAGTTTTTTCTTAGGTAAAGGAACAGATCTAGAGGGCTCATGGGCATAGAGTGCTGTGGTGAATTGGGATGTTTGGATGCTGTTGCACTGCACAATACATCCTGATGCCCTACGTCTGCTTGGAGTACTTAAAAGTTAGTTGGAAGTCACTTGCTGCTGCTACTGAGGATGGCCCCACATGGTGTGGCCTAAAGATCATTGAGATTACTGAGGATGGTACCACTTAAAAACCACGAAGATGGCTTTGGACCTCAATTCATATGAACAGTTATGCTATGATAGTGTTAGGACTGCAATTGCCACAAACAGTTTTGCACTCAAGTCTCCGTCAGTGAACAGTGGATAAGTTCAACAATACAATATACAAATAAAACTGAATTGAATTGAACCTTCACAAACCCTGGTTGATAGCACTCACATGACAGGGGAGAGAGTGTGTGGGAATCACTAAATGATCAAATGAAAAGAAAATGGGGTTAAAAACAAACAAACAAAGAACACATTATGATAAGAAACCTAAAACAACAGTGACAAATACTGGAATATTACTGGAATATTACATTCCCTGTGTTTGTAGCCATGTGTCTCTTTAATGTCAGTTATGAAGCCTTAAAGGAAAGACTGCACTCGTAAATAAGGGTAGAAGGGTATAAGTGAAGTTTAAGCTGAGGCTGGATCGTTATGCGAACAAGATAAATTGGAAGAAGTGAAAAACCTTGAGCTGATTGATGCTACTGGCTGTATGGGCGGAGTGAAGAAGCTGTCCTTTGGGCTGCCTGTGGCCGCCATCTCTCATGTGCCTGACATTTCACTCAAACTCCAGAATGGCAGAGCACCATACTGGGGCTCAGCCTCCTATACCACACATTCTTTTTGCCACCCTCATTGCTTCCTTTGTTCAGTCTGTTCCAGGCCTCCATATTACTTGCCTGTCTGTCTCTTTATTCACCTCTTTATCCCTTGGCACCATCAAACCCTTTCTGCATGTCCTGCTGTCTCAACAGCATATTTCATCTCTTCCTGGCTCAACTCATCACTCTCCATTTGTAGCTACAAGCCCTTTGACTTCTATTATTTCATTCTTTCCCTTTCCTTCCAGTCTTCATATCTGACTCATTCTGGTTTCAGTATTGGACCGATACAATTATTGTAAATGAAAATGTACTGAACGCTCAGATATTTAAATAATTGTTTATCAAATTATTGTTATTTCATTGAGATATTTAAAAAATAGTATCCAGATGTATGCGTGAGCATAGTTTTATTAATACATCTTCACGGATTTATATGTCAGAAAATTAAGGAATAATCTGTCATTTTGGATTTATGACCCATGACGAGTGTGTGAAATTACAGTATGTGGAAGAACCTCCTTTGATGGCTGAGAAAAATTACTTGGCACATGGAATATGGGTCAACTTGACAAAACAGGTGACAAACATAATATCAGTAAATATATGAATCTGAGAAACCAATAAATGTCTCAGCATAAATCAGTATGCCACTTAAGAAAATGACTATACCTGGGCTGCATATCATTATATTTTAGGAAACATGCGTTCCAGCTACAGTATATATTTAATATGGAGAAATATAAGAACACCAGCTGAAATTCTACCTAAAAAATGAAAAATGCAGTGCTTTCTGGTGACGTTTATAGAGTTAAAAATTATATAGGGCACAAAAATATAAAATATATAGTATTTTTATATAGTATTTATATAGTATTTTTTTTAAAATGTAAATAAATAATAAATAAAAATATATGAAAATCTAATATTTGAAAATTGAACTGGTTATTAAACTTAATTCCAAGATTCTGGATATGATAGCTTGGGCATATTTTAAAAATGTAATAATGAGAATGAGATGATAAGAGAGGAATGACACAGATCAGGTGTGCATGCATCATGGACACACAAACTAATTTTACAACTTAAACACTATTACCAGTGTTCCTTAGTCTATAACACCTTCTACAGAAAAGAGAATAACAGGAGCTCTGCTCAGACCAGAACAGTTCTGCTTTCTGCCAGTAAATCTATTAAGTCCTTGCACTGACAGAGGGACAGAGCCAGTCTCTAAATATATAAAAGCCCTTATAGGGGTGACCTAGAGAAGGAGAGAGTGGAGTGCACTCACTTGTATAAATTCCTTTATTACAGCAACCCAGTGACCTTAAAGTAAAAAGGAAAAAAACCAACCATGGCACATCCAGTCCTTGATGGTAAAATTCCTGTGTTATAAATCTCTCCATTCAAGGAAAGAGAAATAATGGAGCTGGGATGGGAAAGAACAGGATAGATAGATAGATAGATAGATAGATAGATAGATAGATAGATAGATAGATAGATAGATAGATAGATAGACAGACAGACAGACAGACAGACAGACAGAAAGGCCGACTGACTGATCTACCTACCTACCTACCTACCTATCTATCTGAAGCATGCAATAATATCTCATCTATTCACCATTAAGTGTTTAAATCAAAACTGCTTACAAAAAAAAAAAAAAAAAAAAAAGAGTTAATAACTTGGATAAGATTCTCTAAACGTTGAGCTACTGTGTCTTGTTCTTGGCTCTTAGCTCAAAGAGCATTTTTCTAATTATATATTTTTATGGTATATATTTTACCAATGACAACCAAAAGTGCACAGAGCCGATTGCAGCCTTTAATATCCAGAAAAGTGTACCAGAGATGTCAGACTCCATGGCTCATGGGTGGAGCCCAACACAGAGTTTCTGACTTCCCCTTACATACATCCTGAGACCTGTGTGGTTCACAACAAGAAAAGACTGAGGTGAATACAAGCAGAAGAGGCTGAAATATAAAAGAGTCTGAATGTTAGTGTATGTGTGTAGATGCAGTGAGGCAATGTAAGCGATGAGA